ATTTCCCCATATTAATAGTCCATAACGCAGTACAGATTCCACGTATGCATGATATGCAGTAAGTGCAGTCTTTCTGTTCGTTATGTTTTTAACACGCTTCATTGCATATATAAACTTATTAATTTTGTTACTAATATTTTCGATTTGTTTTGTCCAATTAAGTTGTTGATCTATCATTATACCCAAAAATTTTGTTTCATTAACTGATTCAATTTGTATATTTCTGTAGTTAACATTAAGATGACAGATTTCATTTTTCAATTTATTAAAATTAATATAATTAGTTTTATTTACATTTATTGTCAAATTATTCATGTCAAGCCATTTAATTATTAGGGTTATAGTTTCATTTATATCAATTTCGTGGTCTTTCAATGTTTTATATTTTTTATCAGTAGTTACTATAATAGAAATGTCATCTGCAAAGACAATGCATTTATTTGTAGTTATTTCAATTAAATCATTAATATACAGTAAGAATAGTATGGGCCCCAATATACTTCCTTGTGGAACTCCATATTTATTTGATCTGTATCCAGAAGAATAAGGTGTGACAATATTATATTTATCCAATTTTGTGATTGTTACACATTGTTTTCTATTGTTAAGATAAGAAGCTATCCAATCCAGGACAAGGCCTCTTATTCCAACGTTTACCAGTTTATTCAACAATACTTTGTGGGATACACAATCGAAAGCTTTTGAAAGATCGAAAAATACAGCTGTAGTGTATTTTTTGTCGTTTATATTTGTCAAAATTGTTTTTATGAGAGAAAATGAGGCAAGTGTTGTCGACTTATTTTTTTGGAACCCATATTGGTCTTTTGAAATTATTTCATATTTGTTACAGAAATCCATTAATCGCGTCAACATGCATTTTTCAAAGATCTTTGAGAAAATTGGTATTAATGTGATTGGACGATAATTTGCCATATCATCTTTATTACTTTTCTTATAAAGGGGTTTTACTATGGATGCTTTTAAAAGCTCAGGGAACGTTCCGCTTGAGAAAGATAAATTAATTAGGTGAGTTAAAACATCTATTATCTCGTCGATGCTGTCTTTTATTATTTTTGTACATATTTCATCATATCCTTCAGAATTTGTATTATTTAATGATAAAACCTGTCTTTTCACTTCGTTCTGTGAAACTGGTTTTAGAAACATTGAGTGACTCACAGTTCGTTTAGAGTTCATTTTATAATGTTCCTCTTTGTATCCATTTGTTATGTCAATAAAATGGTTGTTGAAAGCTGTGGCTATGTCTGTAGGTTTTGTCAATACTTTATTACTAGTCTTTAAAATATTTATATTATTATCACATGTAAATCATAGTGTTATTGTAGGATACTTATGGTATCATTACGTAGTATAAAATAAGTCGCTATCGTTGTCTGTCACTATGTATGCTTGAATCTTTAAATTATGCAACGGATTTTGATGCGGTTTTTTTGATACATAGAGTAATTATAGAGGAAGGTTTATATATATAATACATGTACACCCGTGCAAAGCCGGGGCGAGTAGCTAGGATTACATATATGGATCAACTGTCATTAGTTGATCCTATATCCTGCAAAATATGATTATTATCAGATACAGTTGTGCCGAGTATATTTCAGAATGTAGCATATGAAATTAGTGTTTACAATTATGTGGTTAAGGTCGTAATTACAATAACAAATAAGTGAGTCTAAGGAATTCGTCGGATTAACACCAGCGAAACCACATCGCACTACCCCCTGAAACTGAAATACGACCCTGATCATCCGGACGAATGGTGGTCATTCACTGTGCGTTATTCCAGAAGTTTTTTGCCACGCAATACCACATTGTGGAATCATCTTCCAGTAATCTCAAAAAAAAACAGTTTAAGTTTTGAAATCTCTTTTTAGTTTCTTTCAAATTAAGAAAAAACTACTGCAAGAATATTATGTTATTTTTTAATACTTTAGTTAATGTCGTAGAGACTTACTGTAACATTTCAGAAAGAAGTAGCATTTCTAAAAAGTTATTGACGTGGGTACCTCAGTCTGCAGTAGTATATAGGTCGCAGTACTTAACAATAGCCCAAAGAACCCTAAAAATAAACTCATTTAGTTGGGTGATTAGCTTGTTTACCACTTTAATTACAAAGGAATAAAAGAATTATACTGGAGCAGACTAAAAACCAAAAGAAAAAAAAAGTAAAAGATCTAGATCGAACTCCTAGTGGTGCCCTCAGACTAAAGTCGTATCCGTCAAGCAGGAGTTGGCCTTCAGCCGCTCCGTAAGTCCTTACGCGGGTTTGGAGTGCTATCTGCACTCGCCCCCTAACGTCCGGTGAAGCTGTAAAGGCCAGCTGCGGCCAACAGCATTAGAGTAGTCCGACACCTTTTAACGTGACGTATTTTGTCGAGACTAAAAGTTGGTTGGCCAGCACATTAGGATGATTTACTAGCCGTGTCTTGTATTTGGAGCAGCAGTATTTTATCTCTTTGGTTGTGTTTGTATTGAGATACTCATAAATCTCAGATATTTTTGCAAATCAAGGCGCATTTATTTGTGTTAAGACTCGGTTAATAATTTAAATACTGTTTCAAGATATTATTTTAAACCCTTTGTTATTATGCTTATGTTAAAGTTACCAGCTGAACCCCATAGTTGTATGCCGTAAGACCAAATTAATTTTAATATAGAGTTGTAGAGGAGAAGTTTGTTGTTAAGACATGGAAAGACTTTTACAGAAGAAATAGATAACTTTATTCATAAGGCAAAATAGTTACAGAATAGAAGAAGAATACTGACATTTTTGTATAAAATATTTTCTATATATATATTAATAAACAAGAAAAAAAAACCGTACAAAAAAGGTAAATCGTGCGCACATACTTGTAGAGAACGACTACTGCAATACTATGTATTACTAATTATGAACAAACTCTAAAAAGAAGGATAATCTTAATTGTACTCGTATTAGTGTTTTATATGATCAGCAATGTTTTCACCAATTCTGCATTGATTTGATTTTGCAATCGATGGACTCTCGCATATAGAACTTAATATTTATTACCTTTTTCCCGAGGTAAACTTTACGCAAAGTCACCTTCGTCGATACCTACTCGTCTACTTTCACCTTTCTACTTTAGGCATGAAGAAGCTTGCTTTATTTAATATTAAGTTTTTAAAGATATACAGTCCAAACCAAATTTATTTATTTACTAGCTCACCCGGCGAATTTCGTATCGCCTAACTGTCGATTCTTTATTTTTTAGTTTATTTAATACTTATTCTGCTATTTGGGCCGTCAGGTCGAAAATTATGAAACAACTAAAATTATATTAATAGTCAATAAAAAAATACAATTTCACTTTCTTTTTATTATGGTGTCGACTTATTATATTTTATTTTTACTTATTCGAAATTTAGTTTAAATTTATTTTTATTGTAGTACTTTATGATACACGATATTTTTTTACAATACACTCTAGATAGAAAGTCAAAAATATTACAGAGCAAGTTCTCTGTTACCAGTGCCGGATAACGACTACAAGGCAAGGCAATTCTCCACAAGAAATCAATCTATTCTTAGTAGTTCTCGAGATTAGCGCTTACCAACATATTTAGCGATTCATTTTTATATTATAGATGTTATTATAGTTTATATTGTTTCAATACCTTTAAAGTGCATATGAAAAAAAATTGTCACAATAAATTTATATCCAAACATTATTTTATTCAAAACATACAGTGTTTATATTTATTGTTTTATATTTATCTAGTGCGATTTCCACGTAAAAGAATGTAATTGAAATGTACATAATTTACGTCAACTACACATATTTACGTATTTCATTGACGGAAATATAGGTTTTCCTCATTATTGTTGTTCCGATATGTATATGTATATATATGTCTACTACGTAGATTATCTTATTATCAAAATACCACAAAACTACGTAGACAAAAATAATATATAATGAAATAATGTCATCTAGGGTAAATAACAATCGATTACCAAATTTCAATAACGTTGAAGAAAAACAATAAATATCTACACAGTATTTCTCATCAACACTACACTGTTTTAATTTTTTTGTCGGTTTTTTCCACTTGGAAACATTATGTCAACGAGATATTTATTGTGTTAATACTATTTAAGCTCCTAAAAATCTTATATTTATTCATGTAGGTCTATTACAGACTCTTATGATATGATTATTCTGCCACCAATAGTAATGAGATGAAGAAAGAGGCCGGGAACAAGGAGGGAGCGGGCTGTTCTCTCTCTGTTCGAGGCGACCGAGACGACGAGACGTGAATGTACAGCGACGCCATTTATGTGGAGTGTAATTTGAAAAAGGAATAAAATAAAAGTACTGCTGCATCGACATATCATTTCTGAAACTTCCCAATAATAGGAACCGTTACCATTTACCATCAAGAGGGTATTGACCTTGCTTACTATACTAATTAATTGTTAATTTTATAAAAAAAAATTGAAATATTTAGAAGAAACAATCTCATCATACGTTAACTGTAACAGTTTTTGAAATGTTCTTAACTTTCTGGACATTTAGCTTTATTACACATTTATACAGTAACTTTATAAATTACAACCTAAGTGTTATTCTCATATAAAACAAGAGCTATATTTCTGTGCTGTTTTACCAGAAACCGTTTAGTAGTTGTTACGTGAAACAGCAACTTACATTGAAGAAACTTTTGCGTTTATAATAGGTAAGTATAATATACTCTAGTTACAGTATACGAGCAGAAAAAGGTAATAATGAGGTAATTGAAACTACTGCTTCGTTATTTGTACGTATAATAAAGAATTAATATATGAAGTAAACACTTATAAACATTAAAATACAAAGAATATTCATTACATATGTCCTAGTTACCGTATAATAAATTACACTATCTTTTATTTCACTGGTTCATTAATTTATTAATTCAATAACATTATGACAATACCATTACAGAAACTCAAATTGATATTGTAACTCAGTATATAATAGATATAATGTACAAGTTGACTATACATAATTTAAACATAATAAAAATTTAAGATATATTTTAATTATTTATGTGATTTTCAGCAAATTACTGTCGAAAATATGAATATCACTCCAGATATTGCTATTTTTGACTGATTTATTACTATTATTATATTTTAATAATTTTTAGTGTATTGGTTACATCAGCTGTTGCTACATTTTCGTCATACTTCACAGTACTTGTTTCATTTTTCACCACAACCTCATCATCATTCTCTGTAACTACACCATTTGTTAGCGCTGATTTATTTTCATCTGTATATCCTAATAGTATGTTATTGGGTGCTACTGGAGTCTGTGAGATCATCATAACATTAATATTATTATTCGGCACAAGTTTATCATCTGTATTCCCTGCTAAAACCTTATTTGGTACAGTATCTGTAGTTCTATGATCCATTGGCATATTATTCAGGTATAATGAATCATGTGCTTTTGTCATCATGTTATAATTATTGTTCAGCCCTGAATACATTGGCATACTTGGTATATTATTATAATATTGCATCATATTTATATCATTTTGCAAATTCATAGGACTTGTGGGTGCAAAGTATGGTATCAATGGTAAATTATATGCGCCCATCATAGATTGTGGATAAACTTGTGGTTGTTGGTTTCGCTGAATAAATGGAAGTATTACATGTGCTGGATCACTAAAATGGATACGCAGACAAGTATTAATTTTCATTCTTAGATCCTTCAAAAGGTTTAAAATAATAAACACAGAAATTACAAAAATATTCAGAAAGTGAAACTCAAAAATCACAATGATTACTAAAAGGTTGTTCAATAGCGAAAAGAAGGCAAACTCTTGTTAAACATTAATTGTTCTGTCATGTGTTTTGCCATTTCAAATATCAATGAAAAATTTAATAACAATCGGCCACCAATAAAATTATTAAAATTAAGTATATATATATATTTTAGTGGCATCTACATTAATGAAGGTAAGTATATATGTATATTGTTTTGTTTTTATTTTTATTAAATATTGTTTATTGTGCTATTTTGTATACATATTCAGTTCTATCTTACCTTTGATCACTTACTGGAGCTTGTCGTGTTAAATTCTCAATACTTTCGTTTTCTTTATCCGATGGTTCAGAAGGAACGTTCTGAGATGATATCATGTTATTTCTATACATATAAGGATAATATTGATTCTGCATACTGGAATAAATTATTGATATCAAATATTTAATAATATTTCAGAATGTGTTAAAAAATTAAATTAGTCTTTACATCTATTAGAATAGTAAACAAGTGTATTTTATGTCCTATGTAATTTTATGTCCTACCTATCACTATCTAGTTCTAAGACAAAATAATATTTCCAATTAGATTAGAATAAATTTATTACATCCTACACCACAATCAACGATAACTAAACAAAATTTATTTTTGCATTTAAGTTTTAATTTCATTGAAGCCTGAAAAAAAATCAGCTGTAAACTTTTTATATTTACTAATTTTGGAAAGTATCCATCTAATTCGAATAATTATTTTTAAATTGTGTAATCCTTAAAGGGAAGGCTTTAAATAACAGTTATGTAAAACTAGTAAAGCCCGCGACTTCGTCCATTTGAAGTAGTAATACCAGTAGTACTATTAACTATAATTAAAGTGACAGAATAATACAATTATTTAATTAACAATTATCGAATGCGTATTGAAAATAAAACTAAATCATTTATTATTCCTTCTCAAGAGATCATATCTAGCCGTTTTCTTTATTAATAACAAATTCTGTGAAAGTTTCATTATAATACCTCCAGGTATTGGTAAGTGAATTTCTAACAAAGAAAAGGACTGTGATTTTAAGACTCTATATGTATAAATAATAAACAACATACCCATTGTAATTCCATTGAGGATATTGACCATAAGGTTGATACCCGTTAGGTGGATTCCACCACCCAAATCTTAATCTGAAACACATACAAGTACCTATAGGAAAACATAGTTTATTTTATTTTATTATACTAATATTGATCATAAAATACAAAATTATTAGTCTGTTGGTGTTTTATAGGATACACTTTCCGAGTGCGCACAGGAGTTGCATAATTATCTTCCCCTTTTTATCGCCGAACTATTAGGACTTCATCAGTAGGTCACGTCGTGGAAATTCCACTTATTCGCACGAAGCGGTTAGCGTATATTTTCTAACTAGCTGTTCTAACTAATGACTTCGTCCGGGTAGAATTTAACTTTATTTTACTAAATAAAAATAATAAAAGATTTTTTCTAAAATAAAAGTAGTCTAAGTGACTCCTTATTACATTGGCTACCTGCCAAAAAAAATCCGACAAAATCGGTTCAGCCATTTCAGAGATTAGCCGGAATAAACAAACAGACAGACAGACAAAAATTGGAAAAAATGTTATTTTGGTATTTATGTATGTACCATATTTATATTCATATGCATGTAGTAAATAACGGTTATTTCGATATTACAAACAGTTACTCCAATTTTTTTTATATGTATAGATATGCACTGCCAAAGAGTAGAACAGACTTCCAGCTTTCTTTTTCCCAAAGAAATACATACAACCCATTCTTCAAGTCTATGGTGAGAGATAACTTCTAGGCAAGCACGCTACATCCTAGGTCTTGCCATCGTTTTCCATCAGACGAGGTAAGAGCAACCGTACCCATTAAAAAAATGCATTAATGTCTCTATCTATCTTCTCAGATACTGCATAGAAATTATATTTTCCTGTAACAAGTAAAAAGTATCGGACCTCTGAATTTGTGAAAGAAACTGCACGGTAAATTTATTTCAAAACAAGGTAAACGAAACCATTCTTAGGAATGGTTTAGTTTACCTTGTTTTGAAATTGTGATGGGTATTAGTACCCATCACTATAAACCTAATTAAAAAAAATAAACATACGAAACATATCATATCTTTCTTCTTAATTACTATGGTCACTCGGTTCATTTTTGTTTGAGATCCATGTTCTATTCACCGGAAAGTGAGTGAGAAAAAAAATTGAATCACAAACTTTTAGATTTGAACTTAGGGTCATAATACTCTCAAAAACATAAAAGTGACGTTTAGGCAAAAATGAATTAGGAATACGTTATGGGTGGGGGATAATTGCGGGAGTGATAATTGTTAATGAGTAGTTGAATATTGTGACTTGAGATAGCCACTTTTTTCATAGTATATGGGCAAAACAGCTTACAGTATAGCTGAGTGAAAGTGATTACCGCCGCCCATGAGTAGCAATACGCAAAACCATTGTAATTGAAGTGTGTCTTTAACAAGGGCTGGGTGGTCACGAAGACTATAGTGAGGAGGATAGATTTCCGGAAACTTGACTCACAATGGGAAATGCGTTATGACTTAATGCCGACATTCTGAAGGGGAGTGGAATTTCCAGTGCGAGCGGGACGCCATGTGCTGCAGAATCACACGTGTTTATACAGCATGCTCTACTTTTTGAAACCTACTATTATATATATACATATATCGCCAATATTGATCATGTCCTTGATAATAGCTTAATTAATAAATAAATAATATATTTACCCGAAGTTGTTAATATTGTCTACGGCACTAACAGTATCGCTTACACCTCTCAGTGATTTGAAGCCAAACCTTGTAGTACTCATAGCAGGTTGAAATTTATCCTCTATTTTGGCTTTGTAGACATCCTTTATAGAATTCGTTGCAGATTTTAATTTATCCTTTGATTTGTTCAACCAAGACTGAAATATAAATTACAAAATAATAGAAAAAATACCTTCATGACAGACACATTGGTAGTGTTTTTTTTTTTTTTTGTATGTATACCTCGGCGTGGTGCGGTCCATGGCCCTGTACGGGGCCCCCATCTGGGGGCCCTAGGTAGAGAGTGTGGCCTCATTCTGTTAAAATAGGCCACACGGAATGATAAACATTAGCGGCGGGTCTGCTGGCGGGGTCTCCTCCGTGGGTTTATAATTCGCGGTTAGGCATGAGATTGGAGCGCGGAGGTCCGACTTTCGGCGGATCCTCAGGATCAGGTGGAGAGAAAGGCTGGCCAGTCCATCGGCCGGCCTGAGGACCGTCGAGGCTGTCCGTCCCATCCTCAAAAGGTGGATGAATAGGAGATGGCCACTGACGTACCGCATGACGCAGATACTGTCCGGGCACGGCTGCTTCGGGCGGTATGGCGAGGAAGGAGCCGACGACCGGCTGCCACGAGTGCGGAGGTGTTGAGGACACGGCGCAACACACGCTGGACGAATGTCCAGCGTTCGAGAGTGAGCGCCGTGTCCTCACACGAATAGTGGGGGACGATCTCTCGCTGCCGAATTTAGTTTGGAGGATGGTCAGTAGCGAGAGATCGTGGCTGGCGGTGAGCTCCTTCTGCGAGGAAGTTATCTATCAGCTCGTCCCGCTTCCCTCCGCCGCAGAAGAGCCAGGCCTAGAGGTGGGGACGTATCCAACTCCGCCCCCTCTATCCCCCACTGGGGCCGGGAGTAACCAAAGGCCCCGGAGGAAATGTGCGCGTGTACCCACACGCCTCCACAATGGAGTAGGGCGAAATAGGGCGCCCTAACCACAAAACGAGATGGGGCCTGCCCTACAACAAGGGCGGGCCGTCGCCGTATATATCTCGTAGGTACACCGTGTGGTTTTTAGTGAGTCAAGTCTCACACACCACCTCGCCATCCCTCCGGCGAGGTGACGGTCTTTTGAAGATTTTCCACACGTTAAAAAAAAAAAAAAAAGTTATTCATTCATACATTAACAGAATGACCACAGGGTCACCTGATGGTAACCATCCGTAAATATATATCCGACTTTATCAATCACAATATATATACAAATATATATAGAATAGCTATAATATATAAATATATATATATAAGATTAAATAAGACAGCCTGGTTTCTGAAATATATCCATTCAGGAGAATCCATGCAAATGACTTCGTACATGGTTTATCTCAGTAAGGTATTAACAGGAGAATAGTGTTGTTTTTTTTAATATAGTGTAAAGACACTGCCACTATTGAAACCGAAACAGACTGTTCACAAAATACCTAAGACTGTTATGGTCTAATGTTAAGAACTTATACTTACTCAAAAACAAACGTTATTATATCAAATTTCTAAAGATACATTTTATTAAATTACAATTAGATTTAATCTTGACATTTTATTTATATTTACTTTTATGTACAAGTCATATTAATTAATTAAAAATATGTTGCCATCGTTATCTCACTGAGAAACTAGATGGCGTTGTAGAAATTGAAATATGGTTTAGCGGGAACAATATACTTCTGTCACATATACATGAACCTCTTAGCAAATTGCAAGGTCTCCTCGGTTCGATATTGTGATATATGGCACTAAAATATGGTACAAACAATTCGCTTAATCACTACGATAATGGTGTGACAATTCACACAGCGCCACCTAGTCCCAAGTTAAGCAGAGCATATATAATATGCGAGTGCCTACAGATGATATAATACGTAAATACTTTTTTTAATAATGTACATAGAAAACATCCAGACAATGAAATTCATAATTACAAATGTTTGCACAGTGCGTGGACTGGAACCCACGACCTTCGAAATTAAAGCATGTGCTAAACCTCTAAAGGTGTGAGAACCCTCCTTTTTGCCAAATTGAATGATAATGTACTAATTAAATTACCATTTCATACTTACTAATGTTTCAGGCTTTGTTGCAGGTACATCCTCAGGCTTGGTATAGTCTGCTTTCTGAACAACAGAAGCATGCAGAGATGGGGGATTCTACAAAATAATATATATATTAATATATAAACAACTACTTATTTATTATATTATATTTGTATTCATACAAAATTCTTAAAAAGGTAATTGAAGAACATTTATTTAAAAGAGTTACACGCAAGTTTCTTGCTCTTTCTTTATATCATGAGGTACCGTTCCGAATGAGTGGTAAAACAAAAAAATGACTAAAGATAACTAATGAATAAACATCATTTCTATTTCTATTTCTATTGGTTTTTATAGATAAAATATGTGTATATTTATGTCCTATCATTTCTTTTCGGTTTCGGTTACTCAGAAAGGGCCGCTAGCATTGTAACATATTACATATAACTAATTGATCACGCGAGATACTATTTCTGAAAGAGATTTTTTTATGACATTAAATAAAAATCCCGTGCATGAACAACAATTACCATGCACGATCTCATTCAAGTGATCGTTTAGTGCGGATTTGCTCAGTAAATATGATTTAACAGTTATTTTGAATTTATTTAGGGGTAATTCCGGTATGTGATGTTGTATATTATTGTAAATTTTTATACCTATAAAAGTATAATATTTTATATCCATAAAAGACCTATTGCCTTTTTCTAAACGATACTTGGGATGGAGATATAATATCTACTTTATACTTACATTTATATTAGGCTTCATTACCGGTGCATAATGTTTGGTAAAAACTCGTGGACGATGATAGTGTGACACCCCCTGAGTGCAAGAAACAAAATAAAAATCCTGTGTATAAATGCATAAAATAAAATTCATTCTTATTTCTGTGTTATATTTTTTTTATCTTTATACTCCTATAATCCAATACTTAACTCACTTTACATAAATACATCTTCTAACCAATTGCGTCTATATCTATTACTGATAAGATATGACTGATTATTAGTAATAGATTATGTAATTGGTAAAATTAAGATAATAAATATTTATTATTTAACATATTTATATCTCTCGAAGTTTCGACGTTGCACTAGGCATGGCCAGGTGCTGCCTAGAGTACAGCGATATCAATGTTGGAAGGTGCCAGAAGATTTTTTTACTATCGTCACTTTTGTTCAAAGATCCAAAGATCGCGACGCACAGCACCTACGGAAACCATACACTTATTGACTGAATAAATCAATTAATAATAAATAAATAAATTTGTGACAGTACTGTAAAAATTTACTGCCAACTGACATTGATATTACTGTACTCCAGTCAACTCGTAACCACCGTTTTTTTAAGGGATGATAATGGAACGGTGCACTCGCTTGCGCTAACGGTATACGCAGAATGATAGAATTAGTATGAGATCAGCTCTATGAATGATAACTCATCGCAGCAAATTCACCAGGAACTTAACGTTATATTTTCAAGAGGGACCCAGAGGGGCATGGAAGTCATCCTGATACGTACGTGTACATATGTATATACGAGTACGTGGCCACTGTTAAAGCAAGGCTAGATGAAACATCGAGAGAGGTAAATTTCTTTATTTACTGAAACGTTATTTTTGGTAATAACGAAATATTAGCAGAAACACGAACGTTTAAAACCATTTCTCAGATAAATTTCCATTTCGTTTCTACACAGAATTGTAAAAATATTATTATAAAAATAAAGGTAAGTTTTAAATACAATTAGGATATTTAAAACTTATCAATAAAATTTACGTAGTCAATTTGATCCGATGTAGCCGTAAAGGCCATCTATGGCCAAGAATATTAGAATGGTTTGAAAATTAGGTTCCATCTGACACTAGCCGTAGCTGTCTTACATATACTATAGCTTTCCTCGATAAATGGGCTATCAAAAACTAAAACAATTTATAAATCGGATAAGCAGCATCGGAAGTTACCCTGAACAAGTAAACTCACAAACTTTACATCTATACAATTATAGTAGATGATACTGTATATAATATTAGTAGATGTGTAGTAGTGATGACTGACTTCAATATGTTATATATGTAATATATGTTATAAATATAATTAGCATATTACATATCTATATACATATTTTTCTTGATATTAGATAATAATATCTGTACTTATACAATATATATTCAAAAACAATACAGTAACAAATTGTATTTTATAATTTCTGATTCAAATATTTTAAATTTGTTTCGTATTTTAATGAATCTGGCAGTTTATTACATATTTTTATACGTAACATATTATAGAGATTAAATAATAATAATTATGGCGTTCATAATTCATAAGAATGAATAAAATAACTAACTAAAAAAAACTAAAACTTACTGGAAGATGTGGCACACGTTGTTTATATCTTCCTCTTGTTGCTTCAGAAACCATTAAACCGCTTACAAAAATCAATAAAAACATATATATCTTTGTAGACATTTTACTTTTATTAAATTTAATTATAATCGAATAAATTTATTAAGTTTAATATATATTTTTATTTATTTTTTGCTAATTGTTAATTCAATTGCTATAATTGAATAAATGTAATTACTGTTGTTACATGTTAGCGTTTATATAGCTTGTTGTTACAGTATCTTGTCATTTTGAATTTGAACCTTATTATATGAACACTAGAGCTAGTAGTAGTAGATTTATATTACATAATTTAATAATAACATAGTGATAATGGCATATATAGGTATAATAAATCAAAAGGAACTTACATATCAAATTAATATTAATATTTCATATATCAATTCAATGCAACATTAGTCACTTTTGTAACCTGTGTTTTAGTTAAAGTCATGTCCACAGTGACATATGTAAATGAGAAAACCCAAAATTTTGCCGAGATACCACTTACCATCAGGTATCACTTATTATCGAAACTCACTATTAACCTCATGGTACGTAGTCTGATTTCTTTATGGTAGAAAATGGTATGGTAACTAATATATCAAATAAAGAGTTTCTATTAATATTCACTGTCTTTTGCAAATATAATAGGATGTACTTATATTTGTACAAAAAGTATAACATATAATATATATTAAAATATAATTTTGTATTGTGTGCGGATAACTAAATAAATAAACTTATTCTAGAATTAAAAGTAAAAATTTATAGTAACATATTTTACATATATGGATAAATGCAATGTTAAGAAATTAATAAAACATTTATTTATATTATATTTATTTATTTATTTTAGGAAGATTAACGGTGTAATTTAAACATCGCACATACTGCCATGATGCGCTCGCCATGCTACTGCGGCTGCGCGCCGTGCAAAATTTGTGAATCTGTGGCGCGTTGCGTTTGCGCGGAAAATATTATCTACAAAATAACTTCTTCTACAGACATTCTTCAACTATTGTATTTCTGATCACTAATTTTTTTTATACTGTTATTCATTACTATATATATTCGAAATTTACTTTTATTTTAATAAACTTCTTATATACAAACAAAGCTGGCATATAAATAAAGCCCCTGATCATACCGCTAACAACCATATCTCCTACGGTCATAGGTCCCGGTCGGAAGTCGGAGAAGTACATTTACCCACTTCCATAAAAAAAAATCGATTTTATCCAAAACTACCCGGTCCGGCTGAAATGAGGATGATTCGTCCAAAATGAAATGACATAGTACGAGTGCAGATGAACAGGGGTCCAAATGAACATTCATAAGAGCCCGGCTTGGAAGAAGTGATTTTACCCACTTCTTTCGAAAAACCACTCTCATCCAAAACTGCCCGTCCGGGTGATATGAGGATGATTCGCCCAAAATGAAATGACATAGTACGAGTGCAGATGAACAGGCGTCCAAAAGAACATTCGTAAGAGCCCGGCTTGGAAGAAGTGATTTTACCCACTTCTTTCGAAAAACCACTCTCATCCAAAACTGCCCATTCGGGTGATATGAGGATGATTCGCCCAAAATGAAATGACATAGTACGAGTACAGATGAACAGGGGTCCAAAAGAACATTCATAAGAGCCCGGCTTGGAAGAAGTGATTTTACCCACTTCTTTCGAAAAACCACTCTCATCCAAAACTGCCCATCCGGGTGATATGAGGATGATTCACCCAAGATGAAATAACATAGTACGAGTGCAGATGAACAGGCGTCCATAAGAACATTCGTAAGAGCCCGGCTATTTACTAAAGCTTCCACTTCTTGTATGGCTGTATAAAGCACTTCATCCCTTCCATATTTAATTAAATTCACAAAATTCAGTATGTAACGAAACTATAAAGATATACAATAATAGAAAATTCTTATAAATAAAACCGTATTTAAACTGATAATTAAACTGCTTAATGATAAGAGAGTAGCGCAGCATTCTTGGTTGCTAAATGCGGACTTATTTAGGTATATGTAAAATGAAATGTTAACGTCGCGAAATATTGTACGATACTAGCTAGTACAGCTACATTCATGAACCACTTGTCGAGATAGAAAATGCTTCTTGCATTAAATCAAACTTTGGTAACATATTATTAGTCAATAAAATTAATTTAACAAATATAATATTATTAATTAAGTATTAAATTTTTTAGTAGCTGTGGACTTAAATTTATATATACTTTTCAGTACAGACACAGAAACTATAATACCTATTCTGAACAAGAAGCGGACGTGACAAGGAAGACGTATGCTAAAATGACTAATCCTAAACTGAAAATATTCATAATATAAAAATATCTCAGGACAACTCACCCCATCTAGTCCCATTATCCCATATGTCCCTTTGAACCCCTGTTCATCTGCTCTCACACCATGTCATTTTATTTTAAGAAAATGATTACCATTTTCTTATACATATTTCACTCTGTCCTGTAATTTTTGATTAGAGCCATTTTTTAGAAAGAAGTGGCTTTACCAACACTGATATCGAGGAGATCCCTTGCTCAAAACTGATATAAATACATAGTAACATTTTTTAATACATACATAATAAAAATAAAAAACACGCAAGACGATGAAAACATTGATAAACATGTAGGTATACAAAGGTTTGTCCCATGCGAGATATCGAACTTGCGATCATCAGAAGTAAAGTGGTCAATTAAACTGCTAGACCATAGAGCCACCGAGGCCGTCTATTTTGTTTGGTTTAACAATACAAATCCAAATATATTAACAGTTATATTTCTAATTTTAGTCACAAAAAAAATATTTCTTCTTTCTCCATACACGTGCCTTAATTTATTGAAAATGAGGCGTCACGAAGTTCGCCGGTAGGAATGTAAATAAAACAATCATTTTCCCATAAAGTTTAATTAGTGGTTTCTATTAACATAACATTTGTCTGTATGAGCAATAATATGTTTTGATGATATAAAATATATTTTATACATTACAAAGGGATTTTGAGGAAATACGGTTTTGTAAGCACGAAAATGTTATACATGGGGAAGTCCCGTAACATCAGAATGCACCTAGCTTGGAACTTTTATTATCTCCTATAAAATGGTTTCTAAATTTTAATTTTAATAATTATAGAATTCCTAAATTACTACAATTATGTTCACTATTGGGAGATGAAGTAATTGATTTAGCTCCACGTTGATTTAAATGTCATATTCGAGCTACTAATTCAACAATATAATTGTCAACATGATTTAGTATGACATTGTATTTGCAACGTAACGGTTTGTCATCTTTTGTTATATTTCCAGTCCCGGATGAAGAACCTTCTGGCAATATTCGATAGTATCTTAGAAGCGTGGATAGAGTTACCTTCATTGACAATAACGAGTACTGCTGTCCTGTAAGAAAAGAAATTACGTCAATTAATTGAAATTATCCCATATAACTAAATAACGCTATATTACATTATTATTAAAAATTTAATATAACGCTATTTAGTTACATTATTTTATTTTAAAAGATGGTAATGGCCGTCCCATTACCATCTTTTTAATTCTTTCGCCTGCACTTACGATTTACTGGCAAGGTACTAATGTAAAACGATAATATGAGCATGAGGTCAGTACCTAAGCACATCATAACAAATTTACCAGGAGTCTATTCAACAAAGATTTCAGGGCAAACCGCATGGGGGTCAACATAACATAACCTGACAGTCGGTAATCCACATTACTAACAATTCCCCATCATGACTTGGGTTAGATTCGATTTGAATCTCATCTGACGGGCTGCTAATAGAGGCCAGTTTATATTTAATCGAACTAGGTGTTAATCGCGGTTTTATTTGCCAAACAGTCACCACTAGGCTTTCTAGCTATATCTGAACTCTATTCAGTGCCTGATGATGCCTCGAAACATGTGTCGCATTGTAGTTTTAGACTCAATAACGGTCCATTTTTTTCACCATTAGAGAAGATCGTAACGGTAGTCAAGTTTCCGTACTGAATATTTGTGATCTCACACATGCTAATTGTAGCGTAATTAAACAAAATAATGTAAATCCATTAAGTACATACCAGTTTAGCACAACTCTAGTTTCACTCGACTAAACTATGTAAAACTTATTCTATTGTTACTGCAAGAATTTTATTGTATTATTATAATTTAATTATATATTATTTTTAAATACATACATATTGCTATTCATAAATATAAATATTTGTATTCAGACGTAATCAAACCCGCTGTCATGAGATTGTAAGATAATGTCTTAAACCTCTACACTATCATAATTATCGATCTTATAATCTCAATATTTTTTATCGACAGGTTTCATCAATTCAACAGCGCAATATATTTTAAAGGAATTTCTATCTACAAACACTGATATTGTAAATGAACTGAATTCTGAACATGTTAGTTAGGAATTTAGTTTCATTCTAAACTAGATATGTCAGCTTCTATAATAGGCTAAATGTGAGAAAAAATAATTGATTTCATTCGCCGCTAATTGTGAAAAGAATTTTAAGAACACTACTTTATTTTTTAATTGTAGTTTGGACAACAAGTAAATACAATTTTTATCAAATCTATTAATGCGAAACTATATGTCTAGTCTGTTTGTTACCTGTACCTTAATAACATTTTGTATAATCGAATATACTAATAAAAATAATACCCTAGAATAATTTGCACAGCGCCATCTAGTCCCAAACTAAGCAAAACTTTTATCATGGGTACTAGACAACTGATACCACAAACATATTTATGTATACAAATGTTCGTACAAGATATTAAAGCCAAAATATGCTAAACCTTACCATACCGTCATGACGGTAGAAGATAAAACTGCTGGAATCTACATTGACACCGCTGTTATTCCAGTCAGCTCGTGACCACGGCTAGTGCAACGTAGTCGAAACATCGAGACAGGTAAATAAAAACCTTTATTTACCATAATTATTCATGTTAAGACACAATTAATAAATAACATATATTAAATACGAAAGTTTAAAATTAACATTATTTCCTAATTGACGTAAATTCTATAAACTGCAATTCAACGAAGCAAAGCATTAGATATGCATGAGCGAATTATTCCGAGTTTGCATGTCAGTTCAATGTATATAAAGCCATCCGTTTTCCTAATTGTAGGCCATATTTTCCCTTTGGCGTTTCTGAGAACATTGTATGTATTGCATTTTACTGGTTCCCTGGTAATTCGCAATCTAATATATATAATTATTATATAATAATTTGATAATTTAACGACCAACGATCACGATGGTCAAGCAGTATAGCACACCGCCATACTTCCGATGGTTGCAGATGATCCTAGTGAATAAAACAATATATGTATCCGTATCAGTTGTTTTGTATTCATAACAGATGACATGGCCCCGTGTAAATTGTCCATAGTTATTATTACCATTATGTCTTTACGTATTTCTTTAAGAGCCTTCAGTCATTTAGACGTAGAAGGTCCAAGGTAAAGCCATAACGGTGAAATATATATTTTGTGTATATATTTCAAAACACCTCTATTAGTATTATTACTAATTTTTAGGTCATTAATGAAGTGGATGCTTTATTTAATGTTATCAATTGGTTACCAGTAATAAAGATTTTGATGGTATGTACAAATATTCCATACAATACAATTAATAATTAAACAATATATTGATATTAAAAATCAGATAAAATATCAAAATTAGACCATTGCTCCACTGTCAAGTAAATGCAAGTAATATCCCATTTTACGCTGGGTATAGGTGAAGAATCGAGAGCGAGTCCCATGAGCTAAAAATCTGACGTTGCGGCCATACCTCCTCAAATATATAATCGAGGTCATGGAAATGTTTTCGCTTTCGCTCAAGACCAATGTTGAGTCAATGGTTTATGATGATTCAACGCTTCCCATTGAAGGATCCTCTTATCTAGGCATACAGCCTCTGTAATAGCCTCTGCACGCCGACTCCTGGACAACAATGCCTGACTGGTGAGATTCAACTATCTAACCATCCTCTACAATGGGTACAATAATTGAATCGACTCACTAATTTACCAAAAATGATCCTAGCTCACAAGTCACCAGTAACTTGAACACGCCTTTAGAAAATTCATCTTAAAAAGTGTTTTATGCAGCTATAATCTACGGTACCCGTTTATCTCCAGTTAGGCTATATGCATATTTGCCACCATCGTCGTATGAAAAGAAAGTCTTACCAACGCAATTTCTTGGTCCATAACTGAAAGGCAGGAAAGACACTGGATGCGTTGGTGGATCGTTCAGAAACCTATCCGGTCTAAATTTCTCCACATCCGAACCCCAATAAGCTGGATTCCTGTGTATTCCCCAGGTGCTGACTACAATGCCGCAGCCTTTTACTAGCGTGATTCCCGATGCTGCAATAAATAGCAAACATGAAACTGTACTTTAACAATCTGGGTGTCTAGACGACGTTGTATTATTGATATTTAGATCTAAAGAAATGTCAATAAGTATGGTATTTATTTAGAATAATTTAGTTGTCATAACAAATTAGTAAAATACATATAGTTTTATTGAAATAAGTGAATATATGTTTTCTTATTAAATACTCTATAGAGCCAAATAATCGATATCGATTTAAAACTTAAACTTTTCGCTCTAATATTATAAACAGTAAATATATATTTTTGCAACTAATAAAATCGAAAACGCTACATTATCCATAACGCAGTATAATTATATGTTTATTACTTGACAAAAGTAGGGTTCCCTATTGAAACTTTAATAGTGGAAACTACATAAGCTGTAAGATTTGTTTCGTATCTGCAGAGACTGATGATGGAACAAAAAACGAAAAAACTACCTAAACCTAAACTTTACCCCTAAATATTTAAAAGTAAATCTATCCATGCGAAGTCAATTACAAATCGGAAAGATTTGAATTTAGTTTTTAATACATACACACTAAATGCACCAAAGGGAAACCAGAGCGGGAAGTTAATGGTATTGTTAAGATATCAGGAATGACAAGCTGGCCCTTTTTTTTCCGACTACTCTAATGCTGTTGGCCGGACGTTAGGGGGCGAGTGCAGATGGCACGTAACGGATACGACTTTAGTCTGAGGGCACCACTAGGGGTTCGAATCTCGGCTCAGGCCGTCTTAATATCGATCCCCGTCTGAATTGGACGGGGGATCGATCGGAGGGGTCCGTTTAGACAGTGGAAACAGTTACCTATATACTTCAACAGCACTACGGACATCACTTTGCCATATTACCCAGTAAAACAACTCATACATTGCTATACTGGAGGACTAAAATGTGATGCCTCGCATCCAGTAGTTTCCAATTCCAATAATCTTATATCGAATCTAAACGCAGCTACAAACAAACAGCAGCGAAGCAGGTAAGACTGAGGTAAACACATAGACGACTTTTTAAGAAGTGTACTTCGTAAATAATAAATTTAATATGAAATAGAAATTATAACATCACGTGTTTAGACCCTCTGGAATTAACGCTATGTAATATTTCATTTCTCCTTGTCAGCTTTTATTTGAAGATGTAATAGCTTTCGTCAGTGATATCCTAATCGTAAATCTTCTCGGATTCATAAACATTGTATCGTTTTAGTCTGTGAGATATTACAGAGTTCAACTGTACACATTTGGACGGAATTACAATTGTAAATTCCGTCAAAATGTTTTACTAAGCTTTACCACAGAATATATGACGATCTTTTGTATTATATGCTTTTAAACAATTTTAAAACATAATATCACGACTATAAACCTAAACGTGATAATCAATCGCATTGTAATGCAGAACAATATTGTTCTTTCTTTGATTTCTAGAATAAAACAAATGACTATTCGAAACTGCTTAATTTTAACTTAACAATATGTGTGATGATGGTCAATCGCGGTCAGATTTCATAACATTTATATATATATAATTTATTAGTAATAAAAGTAATAATAATTTATATACATATTATACGTACATATATACTATATATGCCTATCTCATGAATTAGTCAGTAGCTGGTATATAAAAACCACATGTAAATCCTTAGTATTTTTTGAAATCACCGCAAAATTACACCGTGTATAATATGCAGATAGTATTAGTCATATGCAATATATGTAATATAATAAATATCATTATTATTATTATTTTATTTTATAAAACAAATAAAACAAAGTCGCTCTTGCTGTCTCTCCGTCCCTATGTATACTTAAATCTTTAAAATTACGCAACGGATTTTGAGGCGGTTTTTTTTAATAGATAGAGTGATCCAAGAGGAAGGTTTATATGTATAATATATGTACACCCGTACGAAGTCCGGCTGGGTAGCTAGTTATGTAACGAAATGTCAGTCAAATCTTACGTAACATTACATCCTTGTCGGCTTTCCTCATGATTATTGGTCCCGGTGGGTACATTCGTAACGTCTCTTTTATTACTGCCTCCAAATATTTAAGACGCAACAATTCATCCATTGTAGATTGTTTAGTTTCATCACCGAAAACATCTTTCAATCTGCAAAAAAATTATTTACTCACAGCTACTAGAATAGATATAAGCTTAGTACGATTGCGAAATTAACATTATAAAACGTTTAAAATAGATTAAAAAATTGTGTAATACATATGATAAAAATTATAATAAGTTAGTTGTACTGAAACCTACATTATTCAAGGAGAGGTGCCTTGAAAAAATATTTCATTACAACCGCATTGATACGTGTTTAATTTTGTGACAGGAGTTGTGAATAAGGAACATACAGGAATAATATAGTAAATATATTTCTATTATGTAATGAAATATTGCATCGATTTATTTTACATTACAGAGTAGATGCAATAGTTTTCTGCACATAAATAATCGACATACAAACATAATACATAAAATATTATCCACCACATAACCCGACTTCCACAAAATTGCAACTAATTCTATAAAAAAAATATATTAATTCCATTACACATTGATAAGACAGACATTTTTACTGTCATAATACATACTCTTGATAAACTTTCTCCTGTTCGTCAGGATGTTTTGACAGCATAACGCAAACGAGCGATAAAGCAACACTCATTGTCTCAGTCCCGGCGAATATCATAACCAGAATCTCCTCGCAAAGTTCTACGTCACTCAATGTTCCCGCGTTATTTGGTTTCATGAGTATATCCAAAACAGTCGGAAGCTTTTCCGGTAAATCTGAAATAAACTAAGCAAAGTAAATTTCAGTAGCTTTGATATGTAAATATAACAGGAAAATGATTAAATAATTTATATTTTACTTACAATAAAATATCTATAGTAACATATTTAGTTCGTAAATAAAACTCATTAGTTATATAAATAAACAAAACAATTGTACGAGGGCTATATTAATATCTGGACTTTGAACAAAGTCAACTGCGTGTAAACCAATGTATCACCTACTTCTGACGTAGGTGGCTTGATTTGCTGTATGTGTCATGGTTTGAAAGTTGTTACGAGAAATAAAAACACAGTCCTTAGGAATATCAAGGCATAACAAGTACGTCAGTGTCACATTTAAAAAAAATAACCATTTTGATCCTCTTGATAAATAACTATTATCGCCTATATACATGAACATAAAGAGTAATTTCACAACCTGTAATGTCATTATGCAATAGTTACAAAAATTTCATTTCATCAGGTTATATCATTAAGTTTTCCAGTACAGTTACAAAAGAGCTTAGAGTGACGTAATCGAAGAAGTTCTTAATCATTACATAGTATAAAATAAAGTCGCTGTCGCTGTCTGTCCGTCCCTATGTATGCTTAAATCTTTAAAACCCAACCAACGGTTTGTGAAGCGGTTTTTTTAATTAGATAGTGTGATTCTAGAGGAAGGTTTATATGTATAATGCATGTAAACCCGGGCGAAGCCAGGGCGAGTAGCTAGTATTTTATATAAGAACTCCTCCGAATCAGTCATCCTTGATTCTCAGAAATTATTACCTTATCTTACCTTGTGAATTTTTGGTTGTTCCAAAATCAGATGCTATTATGTTTTCTTGTATTGTTTTCTGTTTTAATGATACTGTCTGAAATGGATGAATAATTGTTTAAGTGGGTAATTGTCTAACCGTCTGTTCATCACAGAGGTAAATATTATTATTATGTATTAGCATTAAAAGAATAAAGCGAAAATCGACTCAAAATTAACTGGTATATCTTTGAACATTAAATATTATCTTATTTGTGCTTAGAATGTATATAAAAGTAAAAAACAATCGCATTTATGACCCTCCACCCTTTTTGTAGTTGGCTAGAGATAGTTACTATAGGCAAATTGTCAAAATAAAAAAGAAATTTCGAATACAAGTATAATTTTATACACTAATAGGAACTTTTGTACTTATTTACCATTGTTATAAATATCAAATTAAGTGTTGCTTCGTTACCCCAATTTTTTACTTCCGGAGAAAATCCCCAATGGAGCCCCGTTCACCCAGCAGGAAGGTGAAGATGAACTGTGAGACTCCTAATCACTAAAAACTCCAAGGTATCCCAACGAATCGCCTATTAACTGCATTTACAGAATAAATTCTTTCACGCGTGCGAATTTGTGAGGTATTTAACAGATTTTTTGTTCACACTTTCGTACGTGTTTGCGTGTTATTCAAATCATTTATTTTCGAAAATTCTTTTTTCCAAACACACGTTTGAAGTTTATTAATTGTCAATAACTCTACAATTATATCATACATATAAAACACCCTGACCGACACAAACAATCATACTCATGAATACAAATGTTTGTGCCGTGCGAGGAATCAAACCCGCGACCATCGGACGTAAAGCGGTGTGCTAAACTAATAGACCACCGAGGTCGTCAAATTAAATTATTAAATTATTCAAGAAAGGTGCTAAAGCATTCATGTTTGAAAATTGCGGGAATGCGCGAGCTTTCGGCGCGTGCGATTGCTCTCATTATCTTTGTCTAAATTTACATGCACATTCTATCCTGCGTGAAAGTGTATATGAATGAGCGTATGTTTAAAGGCAGTAATTGCCGGAGTCATAGGATCACGGTGATAGGCCACCGCCAGTCTAACGGTGCTTTGTTACCACTAGGCTGCTTAACAACTTTAATCATTATCAATTTTATCAACATAATATTTGGAAAACGTAAGACAATTTTTATTTAATTCAATAAATTTCCACTAAATGGAAGGAATAACCTACTTCATTATATTTTCGTTAACACTGATTATCACAAGAGAATTTGTTAGAAGTATAATTGTGAAGGATTCCAAAAGTAACGCAATGTCTAATAATATTATTCCCGAAGGCAGATTGAAAACCTTATTAATTTGTGCTATTTCCCATATCCTAATATTAACTTTTTAATATCTCCGCTTAAAGTACACTTATGTCTTTATTAGTTTATCCTCTTCTCCTTTTTCAACTTGACTGAAACCCCGAAATTTAACTATATTACTTTATTGTTATTACGCTTAGACAAACGCACAGTTCAAAAGATCTTAATAATATTTTTCATTTACATACGAATTCTTTTGATGTTATTTGAAAAAATGTTCTTTGTCAACAGAATAAGATATCATCTACATTGAAGATCAAAAGTAAAGTTGTTTGTCAACGAGACAATTGGAGTTACAGACATCTCAATGAAGGAATCTCGTATTTTCATGAAAGCGGTATATACTCAAAGCGATGATGGATTTGAAAATGACAACGAAACTGTTTGAAATGTGCTTGAACGTCGTGCTAACCAAATGAAGCGAGATCCGTTTTCATTTCACTTTATTACTAACTAGTTACTCGGCCTGGCTTCGTACGGGTGTACATGTAATATATATATATATATATATATATATATATAAACACCTCTTTGGGCACTTTGTTGATCACGCCACAACCTACACACTTGCTGATTCCACCTTTTGCACTGAATAACTTGACTCCTATCGCGTATATCTCAGGCGGTATGGCAACGTCGCATTCTATTTTGCGATGTGGCCATATATATTCGTCGATAGTACGATATACTCGACACTTTTTTTACTAATAATTCGTGACTGAATGGCTCCGAACGGCTAAATTTTTGGTATACACAAAGACTTTTTGGCTCTGAATATATTCCAAAAATCAATTAATTATGTTGATCACTTTATATACTCGTCCTTACTGCGATACTTACTTTCATCCGAATATATATAGATACCGTAACGGTCTATCAATTATGACTTTATTAATTTACTAATGTAGATATTTTATATTCGCAATGCTCCATACATGCAAGCTCCAGCAACGGTGGAGGCAGGGTCCCCCCTGCACCGTACACCGCACCCCGCGCACACAAACAAATTAGATATTTTTTGAATACACAAAGACTTTTTGGCTCTGTATATATATTTCAAAAATCAGTTAATTGTGTTGATCACTTTATATACTGGTCCTTACTGCGATACTTATTTTAATCCGAATATATATAGATACCGTAACGGTCTATCAATTATGAATTTACTAATCTAGATATTTTATATTCGCAATGCTCCATACATGCAAGCTCCAGCAACGGTGGAGGCAGGGGGAGCACCGTACACCGCACCCCGCGCACACAAACAAATTAGAATAAATTAAATTCATAAGATTATTTATATATTTCGACTGCCTCGGTGGTCACACCGCTTTACATCCGATGGTCGCGGGTTCGATTTCTCGCACGATGCAAACATTTGTACTCATCGGTCATCGATTGTTTTCATCGGTCTGGGTGTTTTATATGTATATTATATATGTATTTACAAAATAAAAATATCTATTTATATCAGTTCAGTATCAGTCTGTGTTAATTGTCCAGGGTTATTTATTATATTTTTATAAACGGTTATCTTTTTCCATCGCACCGCTCGCTATCGACAGTGAATTCATAGAAATGTCACTCTAAAAACAAAAATAGTTTTGTGTTTTGTATTTCAAATACTAAATGCAAAATAGGTATTTTCAAAATACTTTTTAAAAATTAAGTACCTTTTGAATTTTTGTCCAAACCTCAGATATTTTATTTATTTTAGGTATATCAATCATTACATAGTAATATAAAAACAAAGTCGCTGTCGCATCTAACAGTACATAAACAAAGAAAGAAGACTTTGGCTCTGATACCGTAACGGCCTATGAATTATGAATTTATTATACCTAATCTAGATATTTTATATTCGCAATGCTACGTACATTGTAATATCCGCCTCCATTCATTGTAACGGTGGAGGGACTAAATAGTTGAATAAAACTGAATAAGCAGTTGCTCCACTCTATAGGTACTGCGTCGTCGTCGTATGCTGTTCATTTTTTCACTCGTTTTGGCGCCAAGAGAGGGTCACATAGTCGTGGTCAAGTTAAGAACTTATAATTTAATTTTGATAACAATAGATACAAGTAAAAAGTAGGTATTATATTAATGTACGTAAGTACTGTACTTAAAAATATTTATTCTTTACTGTATGTACATTTGAAAAACTTAACACTTAAGGACTTGTACATATACACGTACATACTGCCATTTTCTCTTAAAGACATCCAGAGAAGCACTATTTATCAAATACGCGGGGTGCACCGACCTTTGACCTTATAACACCTGATTCGCGCGTAACGAATTACATTGCTACTTTTTGGTATTTTATAGTGGATATGTCACTATAAAATATTATTATTTCTTTAGATTATGACATAATAACATAGTTTACATGATTTTAAGGGAAACATACGATAAAAAAAAATCCCGTAAAATGTAAAAGATAAAAAATGGTTATTGTTGGTTATCCTTAAGAGATAGACATATACTATCACGGACTTTTTTGTTGACCTTATTTTGATACATCTCAAAGCACTAGACAACACGCATTTTCATTAAACAGTATTGTATTTTTTTATTTCTTTAACTTTAATGCACAAAAAAATTTGTACATGTGGCGGACTTAATATTTTGCCGCGTTATTTACCAGGCAACCATGAGTGGTGCAGCGAAAGATTATTGGCGGTGCACTAATATAAATAAGAAATGTCAAAAAAAGATTTATAAAGATAATAAAGATAAGCAAAATATACATTTCTATAAAAAAATAACAATATACATACATAAATATATATCTAAATATAACCCATAAATGTATAAATATTATATATAAGTAAATACATAATGATCCGATAATCAAATT